TGCACTCATCTCTCTAGCCCATCCCCTCCCCCATCACCACCCCAAAGACAAGGCCTATAGTAAATGAGGAGAGAGAGAGAGAGAGAGAGAATGTGTGTGTGTGTTTGTGTCATAAATGAAAGTATAATTGAATAATTCAATAAGAGTAAAGATACTTCATTAATGTACTTTCGGTACATTAAACAGAACAATTAGGTAGTAGGTCAATGAGGAAACAAACTGTAAACCAAGTACAGTATTTCTCCATTGTCTTTTGGGGGAGACATTTATTTTCCTCAATGGGTATTTGAAACCAGGTAATACTGAATCTTACATAACATACTAGCATTGTAGTATGATGACAGTTGGTTTGATGACCACAATGACTGTTTAGTTACTAACAAGTAGGTAGTGGATATAGCATGAGTATACTGGGCAAAGTAATGATTCACTTCCCTGACTGATGGAGTGGGATGATGTCAGTGTTCAACAACTGTTAGAATGATGGGCAGTGTCAAACTTAGGAATTACTTATTTCTGGAATTTTCTAGGTTTGGATTATGGTTGATCATGGATATTGGAAAGCAAAACCACAGGAAAGGGGGAAGGTTACTGTATACAAAACTGAAGAAAAGTTGGGGATATTACTAGCTCACTACCTTACATTAAAAAATATTATAAAAAAGTGTGAGCAACTGTTGTATTGTAGTAAGGGCTTAGATGAAGCAGCTATGTGTCTGTCAAAGCTGTCTAAATAAGGGGTGACTATGATAGGCAGATGAGGTGTGGCGCTGTAGAACAAGCTGCTCACAGAGAAAAGCTTAGGCCTGCTGGCTTCATGCCTGAATTCTACCAGACATCTGAAGACTTACACTAATTCTTTACAAAGCCTTTCAACATCCAACTCATTTTATAAAGCCCATACCAAAGTCTAGATACCAAAACCAGACAAGATAGTCACAAAAAAAGTACAGACTAATACTGTCATTTGAACACAATCCTCAATAGAGTCCTTACGTGGAGCCCAACGGTGTTTCAAAAGACTTACACATTATAGTCAGATGGGATTTTTCCTAGAGATGAAGGATTGGTTTAAAGTCTAAAACATGTTAATGTAATATATTAGTAAAATAAAAAACAAAAAGTACATCTCATTAGACAGAAAAAGCATTTGACAAAGTCCAAATTCCTTCAGTGGTAGAAACACTCACCAAGGAATAGAAAGGAGCTTCTCAACATGGTAGAGCACACCCATGGAAAACAGATGGTTTAGTGGTTAAGAGTATTTCCTGGGCTGGAGAGATGACTTAACTGTTAAAGGCTAGGCTCACAACCAAAAATACAAGAGCGCTTCCTGCTCTTCTAGAGGACCTTGGCTTATCAGTACTCAAAACCACCTGTAACTCGAGCTCCCAGGGTTCTGACACCCTCCTCTGGCCTTGGTGGGTACCCAAGCACACATAACATATACTCATACAGACACAATATACACATATACACAAGTTAAAAAATTAAAAAAAAAAAAACTCTCAAGGGTAATGTCATGCTTAATAGTAAATGGTTGCTTTCCTTGGACGTCTGTTCTCCACCTATGCTCAACTTTGTATTGAAAGCTTTAATTAGGAAAGTAAAGAAGACAAAGGTATCAAGATTAGTAAGGATAAGTATACATATAAGTGATGTGTACAGGAAGTGATCTTGTATAGCTGCTGAAATAATGTTAGCACTAATAAGCTCAGCAAGATTGAAGGACATTTTAAGTCAATATTTACAAATCATTTGAAACTGGGTGTGGTGGTGCTCGCCTAGAATCCTAGTCCTTGGGAGGTGGGGTTTGAGGCCAGCTTGGGCTAGCTACATGAAGCACTGTCTTGAAAACAGGCAAAAACTCAGCCAACCAGACAAAACCCCCATAACAGTAAGTTGTATTTCTATAGACATGTGGTGAATAACCTAAAATAAAATCAAAATTTGACTCACCAGGACATAGAACATGAAAAAATATTTAAGAAAATGCTTAGCAAAAGAAATGTAAATTTTATACTCAGACTTGTGTATAAACATTATTGGGGGAGCTGGAGAGATGGCTTAGCAGAGCGGAGTACTTGCTGTTCTTGCAGAAGACCTGGGTTTGGTTCCCAGCACTCAAGATAGTGGCTCACAATTGTCTAAAATTTACTTCCAGGGCAACCAACACCCTCTTCTGATCTCCCAAGAGGCACCAGGCACATATATGCTGCACATACATGCGTGCGTGCGCACGCACATTGGAATAAAGGTTAAAAAAATAGTTAGAAATATCAGAACTATAAATTGGAAGTTATCTTACCTTAATATTTGGAATGTTTAAGTCTTATGGCAATATTCCTCAAAGTGATCTATAGATTCATTACAATGCTATCAGAATTTGAGCTGTTTGTAGAACTTTACAGCCTGGTTCTGAAAATTGATGTGGAAGTACAAGAGATCTGTAATGGCTAAGACAGCCCCCTCCCCCCTTACAGGGTTTCTCTGTGTAGTTTTGGTGCCTGTCCTGGATCTGGATCTCACGCTGTAGCCCAGGCTGGCCTCGAACTCACAGAGATCCGCCTGGCTCTGCCTCCTGAGTGCTGGCATTAAAGGCGTGCACCACCACCGCCCGGCTAAGACAGTCTTTTAAGAGAACTTACAGGAAGGCACACACTTCCTTCTTCTACAGCTTATTTTACACAAGGCATCGATAATTCAAAGAGCAGTTGAATAGAACTGAAAGTCATAAAGTTAACCTATACATGACAAACTAGTTATCAACAAAAGAGTGCTGTTAGGTAGCTGTATGCTTCACAAGTAACAAAAATTCCTTTCTCATGGTTCTGGAGGCTGGAAAGTACAAGATCAAGGTTCTAGCACATTTCAGAATTTGTATCCCTGACTTGTTCCGAGACTCACTCTGTAGACCAGGCTGATCTCAACTCAAAAGATCTACCTGCCTGTGCTTCCTGAGTGCTGGGATTAAAGGAGTATGCTGTGATGCACGACTGGTTGTGTCTTTTATAAAGGAATTAATCTCATTTCTGAGCGATCTGCCATCATGACCTGTCAGTCATACTGGACTCACCTCACACACAGTCATACTGGGACTTAGGATTTTGTATACAAATTTTGGGCAGCCACAGTATGTATTCTATAGCAAGTGCCAAGATCATTGAAAGGTCGTTAGATACCATTTGGAAAACTGGATAGACATGTAAAAGAATGAAGTTCAACTTTTGCCACATACCATATATAAATATTATTAACTTGGAATGGACCATTATAGGAGAAAGCCTGTATAAAACTCTTAAGAACATAGAGTTAAGGATTTCTAGACATAGAAAGCATGAATAAGAAAAGAAAAGGGATATTATTTAGGGCTTGCATTAAAATTAAGACTTTTTTAAAAATATTTTTTATTTTATGTGTGTGAATGTTTTGCCTGCATGTATGTATGTGCATCATGTGGGTGCCCTTGGAAGTCAGAAGGCGGCTTCTGATCCACTGGAGCTGTGGACAGTTGTGAGTCACCATATGGGTGTTGGGGAACTGAACCTAGGTCTTCTGTAAGAGCAGCAGTTGCTCTAATCACTGAATCATCTCTAGTCCAAAATTAAGATTTTTTTGTTTGTTTGTTTGTTTTTGTTTTTTCAAGACGGGTTCTCTGTGTAGTTTTGGTGCCTGTCCTGGATCTCACTCTGTAGACCAGGCTGGCCTCGTACTCACAGAGTTCTGCCTCCTGAGTGCTGGGATTAAAGGCATGCACCACCATCACCCAGCCTAAAATGAAGATTTTTAAGAGTTTTTCCTATAATCTTTAAAAAACTCTTACAACTCAACAATGAAAAGACAAGTAACCCAATAAAAAATAGACAAAGGATCTGATAGATTGTAATGAGAGATACATACTTAGGTAATAATTGTGAAAAAATGCTATATTTCATTAGTCATCAGAGGACTACAAATCAAAACCATGGGATACCACTTCGTACCTTTAACTTCAGTTAAAGAGGTCATATTAGCTAGATGTAGAAAATTGCAACTTACATGTGATGATGGGCATATAAAATGATAAAGCCACCTTGGAAGAGCAATGGGCAGTTTTCAAGTAACTAAACATAGAGTTACTCTGATCCACAAGATCACTCCTAACTATATATGCATGAGAAAATGAAATATGTCTGCAAAATACCTTCTTCATAAATGTTTATGGAAGCATGATTCATAATAGCCAAAAGATAGAAGTAGCCCAAATGTCCATCAGCTGATAAGAGATAAATGTAATTGTTGTAGACATATACAGTAGAATATTATTTAGTCATAGAAAGGAGTAAAATATTGATAATTTGCTACAGTGAAAATCAATCTTAAAAACATTAGGCTAAATGAAGCCTGTCAACAAAAGATTGCTTGTCCCATGATTTCTGTTTGTATGAAATGTCTAAAACAAGAACGATAGCCAATGAGCTAAATGAAACAAGTTTCTTTTTCTGAGTCAGGGTTTCTCTTTGTAGCCTGGCTGTCCTGGAGACCAGGCTGTCCTCACAGAGATCTGCCTGCCTATGCCTCCTGAGTGTTGGACTTAAAGGCATGTACCACCACCACCTGGCCGAGACAGGTTTCTTTTTTAAGGATATAAAAATGTGATAGTTGTAATACTTGTTAATAGTAAAAACTGTTGAATATTTTAATAAAGCTTTTGGAAATAAAATAGACTTGGTAAGATAGATTGTGAAGTAAGATGCTTGTCACTAAGCCTGGCAGCACAAGTTCCATCCTCAAGACCGTTGTGGTGGAAGGAGAGAAGGGACTCCTGCAAGTTGTCCTCTGACCTCCATCCAGTGCGCTGGCATCCTTCCCTCCCAATACATAAACGACATAAAAAATGGAAATAACACTTCTACTGACCCGCCTAGGCGTGTGTGTATGTATGTGTGTGTGTATAGAAGGCTGAGCTCAGTGAATAATAAAATTCTTAAAACTCATCTGTTTTCTCTCTGTTCTTCTAGAAATCATGACCACACCAGGAAAAGAGAACTTTCGCCTGAAAAGTTACAAGAACAAATCTCTGAATCCTGATGAGATGCGCAGGAGGAGGGAGGAAGAGGGACTGCAGTTACGGAAGCAGAAGAGAGAGGAGCAGGTAAGTTCTTGGTGCTCAACTGTCAGTCACCTACTTCTGTTGTACATGTGGGTTACTGAATTCTCAGATGACAAAGCATTGCCTCGAATTGTAAATTTGAATTGACAAGTTTGAAAATAAACAGGACAGTGAATCTCGTAAACTGATACCTTAACTTCAGTGATTGTCATCAGTGTGCTATAGTTGCTTCATGTTTCTCTATCTTTACAGTTGTAGTACCTAATATTTTAAAGTAAAACTTCAAGAAATACATCTTTTCTCAGTGTATTTTATTCAAAAGGACATTATGGATAATGCTTTTAGAGTTATTATTGCTAGGTAGTAGTGGCACTCACCTTTAATCCCAGCACTTGGGAAGCAGAGGCAGGTAGATCTCTGAGTTTGAGGACAGCTAAGGCTGTTAACACAAAGAAACCCTGTCTCAGAAAAAAAAAAAAGGATTGTTGTTATTATTTAGGTGGCATTTTTTTAATGTGTATGCATGATGCTTGTGTGGCAGAGTAGGAGGTGGGCGTATTGGAACCAAGGATGCATGTTGATTCTCTTTCTAACATGTTGGTACCAGGGTGTAGTAAGTGCTTGAGCCATCTTATGGGCTCCCTTATTATTTTTTTTTAAATAGGTATTACATCATACTATATGAAATAGATTTTTAAAAAAGATTTATGTATTATGTATACAGTGTTCTGTCTGCATATATGACTGCAGGCCAGAAGAGGGCACCAGATCTCATTACAGATGGTTGTGAGCCACCACGTGGTTGCTGGGAATTGAACTCAGGACCTTTGGAAGAGCAGCTAGTACTCTTAGCCACTGAGCCATCTCTCCAGCCCGATTATTTTTTTAATATGAAAATGTATAGGAAGATAAGGGACTCAGTGGCACTTTAAAAATGTTGTAGACAAAGCTGGGTGTGGGGGCTCACAGCTGTAGTTTGAACTGCTTGGGAAGCTGAGGCGAGAACATTGTTGCTGGTTTGAGGACAGCCTGGGTTACAGACTGTCTGAAAAACAAACAAAATTTCTTACTTATTTAACTTCCTGAAAGTAGAAGCTCACTGTCTGTAGTATGTAAATTGACAAATATGACCACACTTCTGACTAAAAGCATTTGTAGTTGCAAGTTTACGTATTTATTGTGTAAAAATCTGAAATTGTACTAGGGATTTAATTTTCTGGACTATTGCTCTCTTTAAAATCTTAACTTTTAACTGGGTGTAGTGGTACACCTTTAATCCTAGTACTCAGAAGACAGAGGCAGGCACACTTTTGAGTTGGTTGTCTCAGCTTGGTCTACATGTCGAATTCCAGGTCGACCAAATACCCAGTTGTCATCCATCTCCCCAACCCCCCCCCCCCCCCCACTAAAAAACCTTTGTCACTTGGTAAGTTCTGTTTTGTACAGGTAATTAGTGCCTCGTGCCTGGTTTGTGAGGTAGTGAAGATGAGGAAAACAGGAGTTCATGTGGTACTGTTGATCTCCCACAGCTGCTTTCTCATCTGCCTGGAAATGGAAGGTCCCTGGCTTGTGCCAACGAAGCAGCTAGTTCTGAGTGAAATGTAGCAGTTGATTCTGCCAAGTACAAAGTGTTAGCTGTGTCTCTTAGTACCACCCTTTCAGCAGAGTAGAAATTAATATTTGTTATCTAGACAGCATATGTAAATGACCTCTATTTCTTACGCAGTTGAAACTAAAAATGTTTCCTGTACAGAAAGAACATGCTTTGTGTTTACTGAGTTATAGATTCTTGCTGACTTGATATGTCATGGTCATATGGTATTGCTATAAAGTTCATTAAAACCAAAGTGATAAGGAATGAAGGCCTTTTTAGTTAAAAGAAATACCTTCTGGAATAACAGGTTGATAAACTGGACTGTAGACCAGTTGCTAAACTGTCTTTTTAATAAAAAACCGGGAGCCAGATATTGAGTAAATTCTGAAAGATCAGAGAAACAGAACAGGCCACAGCCAACCTCACCTTGCCAACTCCTCAGCTGATCCTCTTTCTTCAGACTGAAAGCCTCTTGAGTCCTCACCTCAATGGATCTCAGCTGAAATGCTGCTAAAAAGTTTCTAGTTTCCTGGTCCTCATGCCTTAAGAGTTTATGTTCCTGTTTTCCCACACCTTATATACCTTTCTGTGTCCTGCCATATTACTTCCTGGGATTAAAGATGTGTGCCACCACACTTGGCTCTGTTCTCAGTGTGGCCTTGAATTCAGAGAGATCCAATTGGATCTCTGCCTCGTGAATGCTAGGATTAAAGGCATGTCTGCCACCGTTTTCTGGCCTCTAAGTCTAATCTAGTAGCTGTTCTGTTTTCTGACCCCAGATAAGTTTTATTAAGGTACACAATATATTGGGGGACACTATATCACCACACTAGACTGTCAGTGTTTGTCATCAATTAGCTTGGCTGATGAGTTCAGGTAACCTGTTGTGTATGAGGTAGTCTGTAGATCATGATTGCCTGGGTGGTTACGTTTTCTTTTCACATTCCTACTTTGATATAAGTGACTAGCACACATAGTGGAGGAGACCAAATAGTATTAAAATACTTGAAAATAAACTAGAGGTTTCCAGGTTTCATTCCTAGGTAAGATGCTTTCCACTCTTATGGATGTTGAATTTCTGAGTAATTTCTGTATATTGTTGAGTTTAAAATGTCTATTGACGTTCCATTGTAGTAGGTAAAATCCTTTTGGTTTTTTTCGAGACAGTTTTTGTGTTGTTTTGGTGCCTGTCCTGGATCTCGCTCTGTAGACCAGGCTGGCCTCATACTCACAGAGTTCTGTCTCCCGAGTGCTGGGATTAAAGGCGTGCGCCACCACCGCCAGGCTTGTCCTGTAGCTTTCTATGCAGATCAGGCTAGCCTTTGCCTCCTAAATACTGCAACTAAAGGCATATGTCTCTATGCCAAGTTAATTTTTAATTTATTTTTTAGTTTAAATTTGTAGATGAAAGGTTTCTGTACCCTGATACTAAGTCTCTCCACTGATACATTAATCCACATCAAGCCAAATTTAAAAAAAAAAAAAAAAAGACCAAGTTTATTGGGAAAAACATTCTGGATGATTTCCCTGGCTCCCAGAGATGTGACCAGGAGAGGAGACCAGGAAAAACCACATGGCTGTTCTTCAGGAGGCAGTTTAAATAACCCTGTATGTGGGATCTTGAGTAGCTTTGTGGTGAGGAGTTGCAGTTTGGCTGGTGTTCTGAGGGCAGGGTCTAGAGGGAGGGAGCTGAATTGGAATTCCCAGCTAAACATCCCAACCTTTTTGGGTCTATAGGTGTCAGTTCAAGTCTAACTACTTCTTGCTGGCATAGGACGAATTGGTAAGCTGTTGTTTGATGAGTCCATTGGCCCTTTCCTCCTTTCCTGAGGATTGTGGATGGTAGGGAATTTGGAGTTTCCAGGAAATATTGAGAGCTTCTGTCTGACACAAGCTCCATGACCTTGGAAGTGAAGGCTGGCCTGTTGTCTGTCTTTATTGTCTGTGGCATGCCAAACTGAGCGATGATGTGTTCAAGGATTACCTGAGCCACCACATCTGCTGTTTCCTGGAGGTGGGAAATGTCAACAAGAGTTAGGAGATAACGAAGCTTTTTATGAGTGGGCATGTGGGTGAAGTCAGCCTGCCAGTTCTCTCCTGGTTGATGTCTTCAAAGCTGGTACAGGGACTGACTTATCTGGAGGGCTCCTTGTGGGTTGGCCTTGGCACACATCTGGCAGGAGGACTGAACCTGTAAAATAGAGCTTGAAAATGGCTGGGGGTCAAAGAGGGGCTCTAAGAAATAGAACAAGGCTTTGGGGCCTATGTGTAAGGTCTGGTGGATGTCTGAACTGATGGACAGTGCCTGGTCCTGAGGAAGGATGAGGCGGTTATTTAAGTAGAACCAACCATCTTTTTTGTCTGTGTGGCACCTTTTTTCAGTTCATCCCTCTCCTCTGGTTGACAACAGGGCTAATAGGAGGGTGTCAGAAACAAAATATGTTCTGTTGATCCAGTGGAGCTCAAGGCCAGTCCCCAGGCCACTGAGTCAGCCCTGGTGTTGCCTAAGGCCACTGGGTCCTTGGAGGACTGGTGTCCCCATCAGTGGATTATGACTACTTTTGCAAGGAGCTCGAGGACCTACAAGAGCTTGGTTGTAAAGGTCCATTAACTATGGGAGTGCCCTTGGTGGTGAGGAAGCCCCTTTCCCTCCAAAGGACAAAATGGGTATGGGTTATTAAAAAGGCATATTTAGAGTCAGTAGAGATGTTAGCCCATTTACCCTTGGCTATCCAGAATGCTCTAGTCAAGCTGATTAATTTGACCTTTTGTGAAGAGGTCCCCATTGGCAGGTGGGTCACTTCAACTGTTTTAGTGGAAGTGACCACAGCATGCACATCTGGTGGTTTCCTGATCTTTCTATAAGAGCTTCCCTCAACAAAGAGGGTGTGTTGGGGGTTTGTGAGGGGTTGGTCTAATGATCAGACTGGAGTGAGCGTAAGGCCTCCGCAGCCTCTGGGCAGGAGTGAGAGGAGGTACCAGAGGAGGAAGGGACAGGAAGGAGGGTTGCAAGGTTTAGGGCAGGGCTAGAAGCCAAGGTAATTTGGGGGTTTCCTAGAAACAGTAAATGAAAGACTTGGACTCAGGAGGGCCCAAGCAGGGGGAGAGAAGAATGACTCAGAAGGTCTGAGAGGCGGTGGTGGGTGGAGTATACCATGATTGGCTGGAACTGGGTGATCTTGAGAGCCTCCCAAATGAGTTCAGCTGCTGCTGCTAGGGCTCTCAAGCATGGCTGCTATCCACAGACAGTGGGGTCTAGTTGTTTGGACAGAAAAGCAACAGCCCAATTCAAAGGCCCAACTGGTTGGACTAGAACCCCGGTGGCCACTCCCAACCTTTCATCTTTATAAAGGTGATAAGGTCTGTTGGGATCTGGGAGAGCTATGGCTAGGGCCGTTAGTAGGGCATCCCACAGAAAAGTGAAGTGGCAGCAGATGGTGGCCAGGTG